CTCTACTCTGAGATCAGAATTATTGACCTGGGGCCGGTGCTGTTGCTGACTTGGTTAATCCTCCACCTGTTGCACCGGCATCCCATAGTGGCGTCAGGTTCTGGTCCCGGTTGCTCTTCTTCCAGTCCAGCTCTCTGCTGTGGTCCAGGAGGGCAGTGGAGGATGGCCCAAGTACTTGGGCCCCTGCACCTGCATGGGAGACCAGGAGGATGCGCCTGGCTCCTGGCTTCAGACTGGTGTAGCGCCGGCCGTAGCGGCCATTTGTGGGGTGAACCAATGGAAGGAAGACCTTTCTCTCTGTCTCTCTCTCTTTCACTGCTGTCAAATAAAAAAAAAAAAATTGACCTTTAATATCTAGTTTTCTTGGCTAGCCACCGAGTAGGAAGTAACAACTCTTAATTTGCATGAGCTAAACATTTTTTTAAAAACTATTCATGTATTAATTCATTTACTCCTAATATGACCTATAGTATACATTATCTCATTCTACATGAGAGGAAACTGAGGCAGAGAGAGGTTAAATAACTTAACCCTGACCACTCAGGTAGGAGGTGCTGGAAGTAGGATTATGGGGCCTTGGTAACCACTGTTCTGATAGAATAGATGGCCATCACTAATAGCTTCACTTTACTGAAAGCCAGACAGAACATTTTAAATCTACTAACACACTGCTGACATGCAAACTTAGCTTCAAAAACATCTCATGTCTAGCCAAATCATTGCCTTGAAGTTCCTCTGTGCTAAAAGTTTGTAACTCATTCTCTCCTTCCCAACAGAATCCTAAGCTGACCTCTATTTACTATCTTTGGATGCTTGAATACGGAAAGGACCACACACCTAGGCCCTCTACTGCATTTCAGAAAGTGCATTAATAATTATATGGTTCTATGTCTACCTTGCTTGAGGGAAATTGTCTTCAACACTGTATGTCTACCAAATAACACACAGTCTAGGAAAACAACATAAGTGCACGATGACTATTATGAACCAGACCTCAAACACTCCACCCAAATGAGCTAATACATTTCGAATTTGTAGGGAAATGTGAACAGGTTTGTTTTTAACTGCCACGTATGCAAAAGTCAAAGTAAATAAGACTTAGGATAAAACTGCAAGGCAAGAGCTCAGTCTCCGCCCCCACCATTTCCTCCATTATCTTCCTGAAGTGGTGGCAGCCTGTAACTTTAATGCTTTTTCTGAGAGTGACTCCCTCTGCTGCTCCAGCAAAGCCATGACCTAAATCACAAGAGTGCTAACGGCAGTTAAGGCCTAATAGAGCACATTCTGGCTGTTCGCTCTAATTGCAGGACCTAGCATACATTGCAGGACAATTATGTTTAAGTCTCAGCAGCAAGACTACGTAAGCTGAGAGGATTTGCTTAGGAGATCTCTTGCCTGGTGCAGTCCTTAAGGTGTTTGCTTAAAATAGATCCGCATCAATTCTGATTACAACAATGAACTCCCAAAGTACAAGGGAAGATACTTGAGGACCCTGATGTTTAACTCCCAGTGTCCACAGCTCAGGAGGCCAGGGAGTCAACAACTGCCTGTTGTAATCTTAATGATTCCGCATTCTTTGCAAGGACCTGAAAAGTTTGTTCACTCAAGGCTTTTAAACATTCTTTGCACTAGATTACAAGGAATTATTTTTCAAAATCATGGCTAACTAGTCTGCTGTTCCTTCATGCAAATTTCCAACATGAATTCATGATTTTCTCTGCTCCTAAAATGGAAAATTACATGACAGAATTGCAATGCAATTCGGTTGCTTTTGAAGCCAAATTTCTATTTATACTGTGCCACTATGTATAAATATTATGTGAAAGTAATTTTTGTTCCTATATAGAAAGAACTGTTATTCGTTTTTTAAGACACTATCCATTATTTTTACAATAATAGGAAAATATCCCAATCTGTTTAGAGTCGTCAGTAATTTTATGTTTGGTGATGTTAACACTCGTAACACTAGTTGGTGCTAGATAAGCAGCATATCAATGCTATGCAGTCCAGATAAATGCATATGTACAACAGGAGGTCATTAATTCTGAACACACTGAACACACACACACACACACACACACACGGACACACAGCCTTGTCCTAGCAAAATCTATCATTCTTGGAAGTCAGAAGCCCCACAAATTCCCGGGAGCAAGAGTTCCCAGCAATCCTGAATGAAGCAATTAGGGCCTAGCCAGAAAGGAGAAAGTTGTTGCCTAAGCCTAGAGAATTTCCCAAGGACCTGTTTAAAGTGACTGCTGTCTCTCTTTAAACCACAGTTACAAAACTGAATACATTCACTAATAAAAAAAATCACCATGAGGGTTAATCTTAAACTTATGTTGTTTCATTGGTTATCTCTATAGAGATATATACTTAAACTTTTGATTTTCCCAACATGTCTCTAATACAATAAAAACCTCAGCCACACTATACAGTGCTTAAATTAACTCCCCCATCTTAACTGCTTATGCACTTCCATTGATTAAAAATAGCTCATTCTGATCTTTAAGTCCTCAGCGAAAGGGAACCATTCCTTGGGGGTATGAGTTAAGGTTCTAGTCTACAGAGAGGAGAAGAAAGGAAGATAAGAAAGAAGTGGAGGTCAAACTCTGGGACCATTAGAAAATCTGTGTTTCTGAGAGGCAAGTGTTAATTGTAGTTCAATAGCAAACAGGCTGGTGTAAGGGATAACAGTGACAGTGATAGCACTGATAGTTGAGTTTACAGCTTTGTACTTCCTTTGCTATCTAACAGACAGCACAGGAAGAGCCAGTATGTTGGAACATGGAGGATAACAAAGATAAAAGTGGCAGAATGGTGCATGTCACAGATCACAAGATTTGAACAAAAATGCTATTCACCAGGAACCAAAGAAACTAAAGTAAACGGAGAAGACCGGCACTGAAATGCACACACCCAACAGAATAGGTTTTATTTTTCCACCGGAGATCAGAATCAGCCCTCAATCTTTGACTTGCCTGGTGCTTGCAAAGAAAAAGTGCAAGACAAAAACAGTCTATCCTGGGCCTGTTTTCTTTAATCTCTTCTCCCTTCTTCTTTCAATATTAATCCACTTACAATCTCCCCTGTTTGATTATCTTTATTGATCCTTTTTCTACCCAGTCTTTTTAATTTAGCTGTTGTAAGCTCTCGGCAGGGATCCTATCTCCTGGTTGGCATCTTTAGGGACTTTAACTTGTCCTCCCCCCCACACACTATGTCCCGTTCCCCCCACCCCATGGCTCAGCTCTTTGTGCGCCCAATAACAGCAGGCGGATTCCACAGGGAGTCACGAGGTTGATTCCACGGCTATTCATCAGGTTGCTCACTTAAGCTTCCCATCACCCTCTTCTAAGCGATCCTGAGAAGTTCTTAGCAATTGCAAGCAATCTACAAACAAGCTCCGATTCTCGACGGAGCTTTTGTGAAATGGACAGGCAGAAGAGCTCTGGAGGTGTGCATGAGAAAACCAGAGCGGACCCTTCAGGAGCCAGGATGGGAGGCATCTGGCGCGAAGCGAAGGAAGGATTTATGAGCGTGGCCACTTAGCAGGGCAGCAGGAAAATTTACTCCGCAAGTAGCTAGCGCTAATTCACAAAGCTTTGCTAATGACCTACCACCCCCCACCCCTCACCCCCGCGCACCAGCCTGGGCTCCACGCCGCCCTCAACCCCCAACGTGCCCGCCCCCAGCGCCCTGCTCGGAGCCAGCGAGCTAGCGAAGGGAGCGGAGGAAATGCTGTCGTAGCACCACGGCGTGTGCATGTCACGGAGGAGCTGGGGGCTTCTGTCGGCTCCTCTCCAGCCCTCCAAATTTGGAAAGAAGGATAATGGAGATGGGGGGGGGGGTCCCTGAGTTGCCAGTGAAGCTGCCTAGGCTGCCTTCAGCCTCTCCTCCCTTCCAGGAAAAGCTGAGCCACCCTCCCCCAGCCCTCTATCGCCTCCAAACTGTGGGCAAAGACTCAGGTGGGCTTGGCCAGAAGGTTGGGGGCCCAGGTGACCACAGAGAGACCCCCAAAGGGGGCAGCCTTGACTTTTTGTCCTGCCCAACCCCACAACGTCCCTTCCACGCAGCTTCCTGGGCTCAGAAGGCTGGGAGCTGCCAAGACCATTCCAAACTCCGGGGGAAAGGAGGAAGCCAGGCAAGCAGTCCGGTGCCTTCTCTCCTCTCTGGCCCACCACCAACTCCTTCGTGGTCTTGGCCGCTCCCCTCCCAACACCGGAGTAGCCCTAGGTCGGGGCACTTTATTTCCAAGCTCACACGCGTTAAATTAAAATGTCAGACTTATAAACTGGCCGGTTACCCCGGGAAGTCTCGGATTTGGTAGGAGTAACCAGCCCGATCCCGATCGCTGAGAGCTCTGGGGTTTTAAGTTTCTCGGGCGCCTGTTGGGAAGGGGAAGAAGGCGCATGGAGAGGCATGGGCTCCCTAGACCCGCCACGCTGCCACAGCCGGCCCTGGAGGGCTCTGTCTCCACAGCGCCCAGGGGGAAAACCGCGCTGGTGGGTCCTCAGCGGTAATGGACTTATTTCTGTAGCGGAGCTCCCCTTGGTCTCCAAGCAATGATAATCCTGCACCCCCAGCTGTGGCACAGCACAGAAGGTTCCGTGCACCAGGCACAACAGGGCGCATCTCTGGCATGCCACCCAGCTGTCGCCACCGAGGTTCGGGACTTGGCGTGCACCGCGGGCAGCAACGTGCGCGTGCAGGGCTGAAAGTGCAAAGGACACCCCCAGGCACCTCCAGGCACTGACAGGGACGCCAAGTCCACACCCTGTACGTCTCCCCGTTGCATCCATGCCCATCTAGGAAGAGAGATTCAAGCTCATCAGCACCATCCACGCATCTTGACTAGTTAGGAAAGTGGAATTCCAAGTGGTTTCCAGTTGCGAGCCACGGGTTACACTGAAAAGGGCAGAACTGGGTAGCAGGAGAGAGAGAAGGAGGGAAGGAGGAAGCATGGGGAGGCGGCAGCTGAGCCTGGAGGACCCCCTTACCTTGAGCGGCAGAGCCCGTGCCGCTGGCGCTGAGCAGGGCCAGGGCAGGTAGCACGAGCATTTGCAGCACATATCCCAGTCCCAGTCCGCAGCGGGCCGCTGTAGCCCGCAGACCTTTCCTCATGGTAGACGGAGGTGTGCAGTGGGGAAGCCACCCAGAGAGAGGCGCAAACAGCGGAAAGCCCCGCGCCGCCCGGCAGCTGCTGAATCCGCGCACCGCGAAGCAGTCAGAAGAAATCGCCACAACCCAGCGCCACACTCCACTTTCTCCAAGGGCAGGGACCAAAAGGGGGTGGAGAGGAGACGCCGAGGAGGAGTTTGCTGGTCCCTCTTTGCCCGTGCCTTCTAACTGATGTCTCCAGCGAGCGCCTGCTCTGCCCCCACTTGGGAAGTCTGGGGAGGCGCAAGGCAGCCACCTCCACCGCTCCTCCCAGCAGCACGAGCAGCCGCAGCTCCACCGCGCGCCGAGCCTGGACTGCTGGCCCGGTCCCCTCACAGGCAGGGAACACACACAGCCACAGGGTGGGGGGAGGAGGAGGGAGCAGAGGGAAGGCGCTTGGGCACAGCGAGGCGCTCCCGGCTCCAATCGCAGCCTTCTCTGGCGGGCAACAGAGACGCCCAGGCTGCCGCTGCTGGTGGCGGCCAGGGAGGGTCACCTTCTACCAGGGGCGCTCATCTCCGAAGAGGAGGCAGTCAAGGAGGCGTGCAGGACACTTCCCAACTCCGCTGGGGGGTCAGCAGCTGCGGGAGCGCGCCCAGCCGCCTTATGTAAGGTAGACTCCGGACAGAGACCTGCAGCCAGCGTGGATGGTGGGGACCGGCCTTGGCGCGCCCCGCAGAAGCAGTGGCCGGGGCGCGCCGGAGGACCACGCGGCTGCCGGGAATGGGAACGCGCCTGCACCCCGCGGTGCGCCAGACCTGGGCTCCTGGAGGGCAGCGGGCGCGCCCCGGGCCACTTGGCTGCTTGCAGTGGAGCTCAGCCTGCCTCCTGCCAGCTTCACCGAGTCGCCAAAGCCCGAGCCAGATTCCTGGGACTGGACTGGACTCGCTCTCCCACTTCGGGTCTTGCGGCGGCGAAGCCAGGTGCAAGCTAGAACTGAAGTCCTCAGTGGTGGGGAAGAAGGCTTGAAGCTTTGGCAGTGCCCAGTCCACTGCACTCTTGGAGTGCTCAGCGCCACTTAGACTGTTTTATGCTCTGAGCGTCCATGACATGTCTGTTGTGGAACAAAAACTAAAAGCTCCAAGAAAAGTCCTTTTCAGCAGTGCTTGCTCTGCGTGCATCCTGGTGACTGGGCACTTTGAGTATGTTATGGGTGGTGAGGCAATACTGGGAGGAAATCTCCCAGGGGAAAAGGAAAAATAGAACAATATTTGTAGATACTCAAAGTGATGGTGGGAGCTATGGCTTCGTGTCCAGATTCCTACCGGGGAAGTGGAAGGACTCAAACCTCTGAATATTTTACCTTTCTATGGGAAAGGATTGTCTGGGTAATTAGGTGGTGAAGTCTTGTTGGAAGAATTAAATGAGGAATGTAGGAGTCAAAACTAAGGCACTAAGGCGAGGCTAGACAAAAAGACAGGGGGATGGGTAAAAAGGTCAAACAGCAAGGCTCAGCCAGCATTTTGGGAAGAACAAATTCCCTTCTCTAAGAATGGTACACTTCTAAATGAATAGATTATGCATCAGGGAAATGTTAAAACTCTATGTACAAGGGGGGTGTAGTGAACACACGGGCAGGGCACTGGAGGCCTACTGGAGGCACTGGAGGCTATGATCTGAATTTTCTGTTACCCTGGGCCCGTCAGGGAACCTTTGCCTGTCTCCTCTGTGAAATATTTTCTTCTTGTTAGTTCTGACATGCTGTGGTGTGTCTGCTCAGCTTCACCTAAAGAGCCAATGAGTCCTGTCTTGGACAAATTTGATAGGTCTGAAAAGATCATGATTGCCAGACATTGACCCAACTGTTCTGTCTTACATCTATGGAGTTTCTGCCTGCCACACTAAAATTTCTTCTTCCCCCTCTTCAGCTGTCAAACGCCAAGACACTGTGACATTTGGTAAAGGGAGGTGGGGAGAGTGCTGGTGCCAGACGGTTGGTTAAACTCTTAGTTCCAGTGACTACCTGACAGGTAATGAGCAATAAGGCTAGGTGCCTCTGTTTGCCCAGTCTGTTTAATGGGAGTAGTAGTAATAATTATCTTGTAGGGTGATTATTCAATCCTTATATAAGGATAAGGATTAAACATATGTAAACTGCCTAACACAAAGTTATCATTAATTGCTGTTCTTTCCATTGATGGGAGATTTCCATCAGTCTCAGGCTATCTAGTCCAGAGCTGTTCAACAGAACTTTCTAGACATTAGACCTATGTGGCTACGGAGCACTTGCAGTGTGGCTAGTGTGAACTGAGAACTTTAATTTTTATTTAAATAGCCACATGTGATGATCAGTAGCTACCATGTTGGGCGGTATAGCAAGACCATCATTTCTTTTGAGGATCACCAAAAAGGGTCATTTGTTATCTGTTTTTACAAATTTTCCAAGAAGGACGATGTAATAGTAAGAAGTAAATTCCTCTGGATATTCCCTCTCATATGAACAACATCCAAAAGTTATTCACTTTTTATCTATTGCAGAGAATTTTGCCTTTATCATTTCATCTGCAGCTCCTAGCACAGAGCCTGGCATGCAGTTAGCGCTCAATCAATATTAATCCATCATCACAAAGGCTCAAAAGGGAAAAATTCTCAGTGTGCAGGACAATCGAAGAAGGCTGAAATCGTCACCTACTACTGCTTGAGCCTTGAGGTGCTCAATAACCGTTACCATATGAAATGAATTCCTTGGCAGAAAGACTACGGGATCAAGAGGGAAAAAGTGGTTCAGTACTGAAATTCAGCCTAAAGAGGGCAGAAGAATGGTTTGAGAAATGGTGTGTGGAGCAGACATGGGAAAGGCAGAGGAGAGTGAGAGAACAAGGGCAGGGGAAACACGCGCAAATAGATGGGCTTCACCAGCCAGCAAGTTTCCTGCTCTCTGCAGCCCAGCTACAGGGCAGCTTATCTTGGGTTATCAATATACTCTGCAGAGATTTTGTTGACTATCCTATTTTTCTTTTCATGAAAATGAAAGTGCAGTGTTTCATGGAATTCTGAGCCATAGAGTCGCTAATGTCATGCAGACATAGACTCAAATATCCCTGTTGTTGAGATGACTTCTCTGACCAGCATACCTAAAGCACCAATCCATCATGCTCAACTGCATTCACCTGTGTCGACTTTCCATATGTCATTATTTTCTATATACACATATGTATATACACAATATACAAATACTCACAGGTATGAGTATATGTATGTATTCTTTCCAAGAGATTGCATGCTTCTCAAGGGGAGGAATTCTGTTTTTATAGTATGTTCAGCACTCTGTACCCTGAATCTAGGATGAAGTTTGGCATCGAATAGATGGTCAATAAATGTTTACTGAATATGCAATGGGTGAATGAGAGCCAATGAATTTTAAATGAAGTCCTTGATTAACACCCCCACCACTGTGCAGTTTCAAATTATGAGTTGACTTGACAAGTTATTGGATAAAAACAAATTTGGACAAATTTTTTTTTCACTGAAACTTTATCGGAATATGACTTTTAGGGTTGGTGTATTGCAGGTGTTTAAGGAACAGATGAGAAATTCATCTCATTTTGAAAAATAAAAATCTTCATTTAAATCCATATACAAGGGCTTCCTTTTTCTTGGCTACAGTGAGTACAGAATTAACTCTGGGATAATAAATCCCAGTGACAGGTGCTAATGGGAATTAAGCATGCAAATCCCCTGCATATCCCTCCAGAAATCTACACCAAGAGAAGTATGCTATTTAGCATGTAGGCTGCTTAGTAATAATGTTATTTACTCTAAGCCAGTATGGGAAAAGTTTCCAGCTTAAGGCTTAAATAAAAACAACTGAACATATATTTGAATTATAGAAATATTTTCCAGGTTTATTTCTGTCCTTATGTTTGATTCCTTACTTTTTGCCTTTGTATGTGTTTCTAATAATAACTTCATACTAGGAAGGTTAGCAAGAAAAAAGGATGATTTTAGTGAACAATAGGATGATGTGGGGGAAACTTTTTCTTAAGTAGGAGTTGGGGGCCCAGAAACTTCAGACAACATTCTTGCTAGACACAAACTAAGGAGAGCCAGTTCCTATTCAGTTGATCAACCCACCTTCTCAGCCCCAAGAAAGAGCTGGCCTGCCATAAGCGTACACACCCTGGAACTTTATGCTTTTTATGAATTATATCAGATGAAACTTACTTATGTGCAATTGAAAGAAACCCAACTTAAGACAGCTTAGGCAAAAAGTGAAATTATTCCTATGCATAACTCAAAATTGATGGATTAAAAACCTAGACTAATACTGGCTAACATTTACTGATCGCTGGCTGTGTGTCATGCACTATTCCCAGGTCTTTCCGTAGATTATCTCATGTAATTCTCACATTGGGGATTAAATTATAGTGCTATTATTGTCTTAGTCTGTTTTGTGCTGATGTAATAGAATACCGCAGACTGGTTAATTTATTAAAAAAAAAAAAACACAGGAACTTATTTTATTACAGGCCTGGAGACTGGCAAATCTAAGATCTGTGAACTAGTAACTGACAATGACGTTCTTGATGGTGGAGGGGGAAAAGGGATGGTGAGGGAAGCATGAGGTGACCAGCTCTCCTCCTTTTTTTAGAAACCCACTTCCATGATAACAAAACCAGTCTTGAGGTAATGGCCTTAATCCATTCAGGAGACTGGTGCTTGCCCCACCCCCATCAAACTCCTCCCATTAGGCCCTGACTCTCACCCTACCCATTGGGGATATTTCCAACAGAAATTTTTGGGGAGCACATTCAAACCACAGCAACTATTATCCCTATGTTATATGTGAGGGAAAAGAGTGGTTAGATTACTTGCCCCAAGGTCATACTAGGCTAGCACTTATTTAGTGCCTGAAGGGGTCATATTCTAAATGCAAGAACTTAAACATTCATAGGACTCAGTCCTCCTCTCCCACCCCAATAGCTTGGTTCTGCTGTCCTCTGATTTGGATTTGGTCTCCTCATGGATTTTGTGATCTCTATGCTCTGATTCCTGGAAGTTCTAGGTTTACATTGTCTTCATCATGACCAATCTCAGCACAAAGAGCATCCTCATTCTGAGATGGCCAAGAAAATGTAGACTTATGTCTCCAGCCTATCTTGTTTCACTTACCAATAATTGAGGGAATCACCATGGCCAGATGGTTGGAATAAGCTCAATGGCAACATCTAAGGCATGTGCCAATTTTTTTTTACACTGGAAAATTGGATTGAGAGTGGGCAGAAGGTGTCCCTCATAAAGAAAAGTCAATATGTGGAGATGGAAGATTAATGCAAAGAATATATACCAAGAGAATGGATGTAGGAAAGGCAGAACAACAGATTACCTCCCCCTCCTTTTTTTTTTGTGCTGTGTGGAAATTAGTTCTTCCTGTTTACTTTTGAGCCACAACACATCATTGTGGCAAATGAAGAGCTTTGCTTAAGAATGACTAAAAAACAGGTAATTCCTTGTAGATTACTTTTACTGTTAAATGGCAGAGTTGAGGCCAATTCAATTCAGAAAACTTTCATTTGGCTCCTATTATATTGAGAACCCACTCCAGGGCTCCTGAAGAATACACATGAGTAATAATCCTTGGGCATCAAGGCTTTACCATCTTACAGACAATATAGATGAATCAATGAAAGAATTCTAAGTAAAGGTCAAAAATATTGTGACAATGTAAGAACATGATATACTTTTAACCGTGGGAGTCTGGGAAAAGACACACCTGAAAATAAGACTGACATATTCATAACAGTAGTGCCATATGGCGCTTAATGGGTCTTTCTCCAACAATATGAAATCTGGGATAGGTAGTCCAGGGCCAATGTGGGAGGTCAGTTCTGCTCTTTTCATGACTTGGCTTCATGTCCCCTAAAGGGTGGCTTTTGTTTTATTTATCTGCCTTTGGCTTTTCTACCTCTTGACATTATGGGCTCTTTTGAGGCAGGGTAAATAAAGAACACGGCCAGGGGGATGTTGTGAGATTAGATGCCTTCACAATAACTTTTCTGGTAGCCCTTAGCCCAAGTAATTTTAATTCTCTTGATCTCCTGTCATCAAATGGTCCCTTTAGAATAATCCCAATCATAGGTGGTGACCAATAATGGATACTGTGAATGCTGGCCAGATCATCTATGGTTGGCACAACTCTCTGGGAGGAAAGGGACAGAAATAAAAGACATTAAAAGAGTTAAGGAGTACTTTCAAGAATCACAGGTAGATGGGCCGGCGCCGCGGCTCACTAGGCTAATCCTCCGCCTAGCGGCGCCGGCACACCGGGTTCTAGTCCCGGTCGGGGCGCCGGATTCTGTCCCGGTTGCCCCTCTTCTAAGCCAGCCCTCTGCTGTGGCCAGGGAGTGCAGTGGAGGATGGCCCAGGTGCTTGGGCCCTGCACCCCATGGGAGACCAGGAAAAGCACCTGGCTCCTGGCTCCTGCCATTGGATCAGCGCGCTGCGCCGGCCGCGGCGGCCATTGGAGGGTGAACCAACGGCAAAGAAAGACCTTTCTCTCTGTCTCTCTCTCTCACTGTCCACTCTGCCTGTCAAAAAAAAAAAAAAAAAAAAAAGAAGAAGAATCACAGGTAGATGGATAACAGCTCTAGTGTTGGTTGAGTAAAGGGGGAGGGTTATGTTTTCTATCATGCTGGGAAATAAAAAAATGGAAAGGACTCCACTTATGGACCATTAGTGTATATTCATTGAACTTTTGTGATGTATGTAGCACTGAGGGAACGTTTCAAGGAGTTGGATTGTAGAGACAATATTAATAAAAAGTGAAAACAGAAAAGAAGAAGATGACAGACAAGCTTACGAAGAGAGAAAAAGAAGAATGAAAGAAAGAAGCATACAAAGAACAAAGGAAGAAAGGGAAAGAAGAATAAGAAAAAGAAATAAAAGAGCAAATAAATAAAATACAGTGTGATTTCTGCATTTGTATAGTATGGTATAGTGGCAATAAGAGGAAAAACAATTAAAAGCTCAACAAAAATAAGGAATATAACAAAACGTGTAATTTAGAAGAATATTTCTAAGGATAACTATTATAATTATTGCTCACTGGAGCTTTTCTAATACCTCATTTTGTTTCTAATTTTTCATTCAAATTGTACCATTTTTTTTCTCACAAATTGAAGAGAGAAGAAACTTTATGGGATGATGGATCAGGAAACATGAATTTAAGTCTTCATTGCCTAACTTATTTGCTCAGAAGTCCCTGTAACTCCTTCATAATTTCTCTGTTTTAAAAATGGCAACAGTATGGACGTATAAAGTTATTGTGAAGATGAGGTATGTGCAAAAGTGCTCTGTAATGTGTCTATACTTAAGACATTATTATGATAGGCTCTATATTATTCCTTGTACTTACTTTACATAATAATCTGAAGAATAGTATTCATTACTGTGGCTTTCTGTACATGAATGGCAGCACCCCAGTGTAAACTTTGGAGTTATTCTTACTATCTCTCTCTCCTTTCACCTACTCAATTACTAAATCCACACAATTTTCCTACTTAAAGATCTGTGGGACTTACAGGCCCACAGCCACACATTATATGTGCATGTTCCAAATTGTCTCGTAACTGCATTCGTAGAAGCTGGTCTGCTTTCACATCCTAACTGATGGTGGCTTAGCCCAGTGACTTGTTTCTGCCATGAATGTGGGGGTGCTGCCATGCTGCACTTTCCCCTGTTGCGTACCTCTGCTCTTTTTCATGTGCTCCTGCTATTAGTCATGAGACGCTAGAACTTTCTCCAGGTGGTCACCAGTGCAAGGTCCATGAAAGTCACATGGGGAGCTGTGCAGCCTGGAGCCCAGAGTCTGATCTAGCCGACTTAACACAACTGCATCCGACTCAGCGACCCATAAGCAAGAAAAAAGTGCTTATTGTGTTCAGCTGCCATGTTTGCAGGTGATGTGTGTGTGAGCAGCATTGTTGTAGCAAAAGTTGTCTGACAAGCGTAGTGTGGGAAATTGTGTCTTCAGATTAAGTTCAAGATAAACCACATGATAGTTTCTGCTGCTGTGCGAATGAACTGGTGGGAGATAATAAGATGGACCATAGAACTAAAGAGAATGAACAGAATTGCCATGGAGGAAGTATGGATGCATCCCTACAGTAGGCGCGGCGAGGGGACACTTACTTCAAATCGAAGGATCAATGGAGACTTAACTAAGAATACATTAAATCTAGGACTAGAGGGAAAAATAGACTTTGTGTTTGCTGAATTGCAGAGGAGGGCATTTCAGGCTAAAGGCACTCCTGGATAAAGGGCTGGGAAGAGGAGCAGGACATGGATGGCAAATACTGAGTGATTTAGTTTGGAACCCAGAGTATAATACATGTAATGCCACTATTAATTGCAATTTTAAAACATTGCTGTGGTCAATATTTTTGAACATTCGTTAGCCAAACACCTTGTAATATGTATATAGTGTGTATTAATTTAATACACACATTATATAAAACATTCTATATAATTGAGAATATTATATTCTCTTTTTAAGTAGGAGGAAATTGAGACTTTGAGGAGTTAAGTAGACTGCTTACACTAAATTAGTATCAGATTAGGATCTGAACTTGAATTCATCTGGATGTAGGTAAATACCATGAGGTAAACTTGGAAAGGAAGAGGGGGCTATTTTTTGAGAGGCGTTTGGAGGATCATTATGTGGTCTGCCCTACCTCATGCATTAAAGCAACCAAAGGTCTTTGAGCAATGAGATGGTCATAGCATATGACATCAATGTGCAAATGGATTAAAGTGGGAAGACAAATCATGGCATCTCCACTTAGGATTCTATGAGAACTAGGGAGACTGAATGCAAGTAGCAATAAGCAAAAACTGAAGAGGATATATACAAGATGTTGAACTGGTGGCTACTGCTTCCAGAACACAGGGTAAAGAAAAGTATTATTAAATATTCATGATATAATTAAGAATAAGTTATGTAACTCTGAAAAGCTACTTGCAACAGTAAACTACCCTCAACTTAATTAAAGACATTAAAAAATTAAAAATAAGACATAAAAGATGAGAGAGATATAGTACTTTCTTAGGACTACTAGTGTTCATTGGGATTTGAAATTGTTTACTCAAATAATATTGTAATGGTTCAATATTATTTTGGTTATATAGTCATAGTATTTGTTTTTACACTCCCTAACATTTTGCTTGGAACAGAGAAGTTAATACACAGTTAGTAAATGATTTGAGAGTCAGAGAGAGAGAGAGAGAGGGGAGAGATAGAGGGAGAGAGAAAGAGATCCCATCTACTGCTTGCTCTCCAGATTTCCACAAGGGCCAAGGTTAGGGGTTAGGGCTACTCAAAGGCCAAGGCTTGGACCCAGGAACTCAATCCTGTTTCCCATGTGAATGGCAGGGACTGGGCTACTTAGGCCATCACCAACTGCTTCCTGGGGTGCACATTAAAAGGAGACTGGAATTGGGAACAGAGCCAGTAGTCAAACCCAGATATTCTGTGATATGGGATGCAGGTGTCCCAATCAGCATCTTAACTGCAAGGCTGAATGCCCACTCCAAGGAACATTTTTAAATTAGACATAAGGAACTGTTATAGAATATAACCTAAATCAGTTCTTACAAATTTACTTCAAATTTTTTATTTCTAAATTTATTGTAAGTTCTTTGTTAGAAATGTATGGTGCTTTATCTTTGAGAAACATGCCATAAATTGTGGTCTGGAAGTCAGCCCACACAATCCTGTTAATCATGTGTCATTATATAGAAAACAATGCTATTATAGCACATAAAATTCAATAAAAACATAGCATAATTAAGTCAAACAAAGGTGAAGCATTTGATCTTTGTGCTTATGCTATAAATAAAGACTAGGAAGAAAATCTGAAAGTTTATGGAAATTTCTAATTTCATTTCACATTTCCAACAACTGTCCACAACAAAGCCAGTCATTCCCTCTCATGTCTGATTTGGATCATAAATAGAAAGATTTCATTTTCTTTAATATAAGTGTTGCACTAGTGCTAAATCTCCTCATATTGATTTTTTGGGAGGTTTGGTAAATTAACAAAATTAATACAAATGAAGGTAAAAAATGAATTTTTCTTATTAGAATGAGGAAACAAACAGAGAATACTAGGAAAGAAAAGAGAGAAGCTATTCAAGTGAGAATATGCCAGAGGTATTTTAAACAAAACTGTCTGAGACAAAAGTCAAAAAAGAATAAGATGAAGTTAAATAATGAAAAAGCAGTGGTTCATAATAATCATTCATGTGATCTACCAGCTGGCCCTGATGGCCAAGACAGCCTGATGTGGGGTAGGATTAGCCAAACATTAGATTCATGACAATGTTACAAGCCAGCTGTTTCAATGGATGGCCTTTATAAAAAGATTTATTTACTTGAAAGGCAGAGTGAGTGAGGGATGGTAAGAGGGACAGGCATAGGGAGAGGAATAGAAATATCCTCCATTTTGCTGCTTACTATCCAAATGGTCTCAAAAGCTGGGGATGGTCCAGGACAACACCAAGGTCCAAGAACTCTATCCAGGTCTCCAGCATGAGTAGCAGGGTCTTGAGTACTTGAGCTATCCTCTGCTGTCTAGCCAGTGTATTAGTAGGAATTGGATCCAAAGCAGAGTAGTTGGGACTTGTACCAGGCACTTTGGTATAGGAACGTATGCACTTTAAGCAGCAGCTTAACCTGCTGCACTATACAGATGGCCTTGCAATTACTTGCTTTTTAATTTAATGTGCTGTTCAAGACTCTGAGCTTCCTAAGAAGGACTTTACTTCAGTAATACGAGTAATTGACTCAGCATCACCTAAGCCAAGTCTAACCCTTAGAACCTAGGAACAACTGGATAATGAATAAATAAATGCGTAAATTATGTTTATATTCATTTTAATTTAATTGATGCTATTTTCCTGCCTTTTGTAATTTTATTTCTTCTAATGGCCAAGAGAATCTCTTACTCATTGTTATTCTTAAATGCAAATGTCATCTTAACTTTCTGTCTTGATGAGGTCAAAGAGAGAATCTCATTCTCTTCTCTGTAGGCTGACGTGTCATTTTTATAAATACAGGCTAACCATGTATGAGTAATGGCTTACATTTCATGCTGTTGACCATCTACGCAAACACAAAGTGTGCTGGTTGTAGATCAGGGGGAGTATCTGTGAGTACATGTGGCTGTATAAAAGAAGCCAAATAATTAAAGTCTATCTGAACTGAGGAAGCCAAACTCTCTCCAGAAGTAAAAAGAGCAGTTGGAGGAGGGGTGTTACAACCGCACCACTGATTCCCTCTTGGCATGGCCAACTTCCCTTCTCCCAGGCTGCAAGCTTTCTCTGGACCACAGCCTTAATATTAACTTAGGAAAATGGTAACATCCAGTGTCTAGGCCTTTGCTCATGTTCCCCGCTCTATCTGAAATTACTCATTTACATCGAGTAATAATAATCATTTTTTGAGCTAGAGTAAAAAATTATTGCTAGCTATATTTTAAAAATATTATTATAGTTCAGTAAATAAGTATTTATAAGAGATAGCTCAGAAATCTTTTACAGATGTGAACACTTGTTATATATTTCTAACAGTTTGAATATCTAATTCCATAAGTAATTTGTCATAATACTAATTCCATAAGTAATTTGCTTGAATTTTCCACTTTTAAAAATGAAAGAATTTACGAATATTTAAAGAAGCGCAACACATCCTATATCCCAAATAAATTGGCAAAATTATACTAAAATACAATAGTTCAACTATTAGGGTGGGTGTTGTGGCACACTGAGTTAAGCTGATGCTTGGTGCACACGCATCCCACCTAGGAGCAATGGCTTGAGTCCAGGCTACTTTGCTGACAACCCAGCTTCTGGCGAATGAACTGGAACGTAGTAAATAAAGTCTCAAGTACTTGAGGTTTCTG